CAAATTCAAATTCAAATTCAAATTCAAATATTTTAATTTTCCTCATTGCAATTCCTCAGCTTTGGCATTTCTCTGATGAATAAGCAAGCTAAGGCAAGTAGCAACTTCCCTCCCACAGTCCGATCTCACAGATTTTATCAAATAAAATGTTGGTTAAACATTAAATCAAAACCAATTTCTAGTCTGGTTTAAATGACATGAAAAGAGGGTGTGTTTTCTGCCAAGCTGAGTCCAACAGGGCTTCTTTGAAAAGCTTCTGTTGTTTCAACCTTGAGTTTACCTTTATGTCCCGGACCATGTGCCCTTTGAGATAAGCAGACAGTTTGCTCCTGTGGTCTTTGTGATATAGCCATTGTTGCATTTCAGCAGGAAGAGAATTAAAGGCTTCATCAGTTGGCCACAGCATGGTAAATGGCTGATGAAGGGTATTATTGACCAGGTTAAGAAGTCCTGTTTCCTGCAGAGAGAGACACAGAACAGTAAAATAGCATGATATCACTAATCTAAGAGAATTCACAATTTACTGTCAGTCAGATGGTCAATCCCCCCCACCACACAAGCATCAGTCTTGAAAAGATAAGGGAGCTGCATCAAAAGCTACCAAGTTTATATGGAAAGAACCTGTCAAATGGAATGTGATCTGGGAGTTCGATTAATTAATTTTTGAGGGTTTTAGGGGAGGGTGCTATGAGTGATAAGCAAATGCCTGATGCCTCAAGCCTTTCAGGCTTTACAACACTGCCTACTTTCTTCAAAGTAGGCTCCCTTTGTGTCTTAACCCTGTCTGGTTTTGAAATGTGGATTTTGATATGCTATGCTATGCTCAGCATAGGGGAAGGGAAATGGAAGTGGTGCAGGGCATCTATGGTGGCCAAAATAAATAAAGCATTTTTTCAGACTAGCAAAGTTTTTGTGCATCTGAGGAAATGAACTGCAGCCCACAGTGTTCTGCCTTTTTAATAAATACCAATATTAATGTATAAGGAAAAAAAGGCTATCATGTTCCCTAACTGTATGTTGATTGCATCAATTCCTGTTATGATTATTTTATGACTGTTTCTACTTTATGGGATGTTAATTGTTAGCAACTTTGAAAGACTGGCTATAAAATGAACGAGTGAGATTAAATACATAAATAATCTATGATCCTATAAATACTTAAGGGTGAAAAGAGTGTTTGAAGAAAATTATACACATATAGACCCATTTAAACCAGAATTTTTTTAAAAAAATGATTGTTTCTCCTAAGAACAATTTCTTGCTTTTGCTATGGTTAAAGCATTGGGATTTGGGAGTCTTTCTAATCTACTGCAAATCACCCAAATATCTACCCATAGATTCCAGCCTACTTTCTGCCCACTTTTAGGATTGGTTTAGAATCTTGAAAGATTTTTGGAGGAATGTTATCAGCTATGAAGCCTTCGGAGTTCCATGTTTCAATAATGGATCTAAAAAAAGTTCTGCAAGGAACAAATACTTGTTGGGAGATTTGAATTAATGAAGAAGACCTTGTGAGAGGATGTAATCCTGAAGGAGAGCAGAGTGTTGAAAGAATTCTAAGGAAATAATAGAATGTCACATTAAAATAAAATGCTCAAAATATAGTTGTCTGGGATGTAGAGCATGGAGTTAGCCCAGCTGTTAATGAATACTAATATACATTGCCAATAATTACCAAAAAAAATGTGATGGTAGAAAAGTCTCCCTCCTGTCTAAGTTACATTTTGAGAATAAAGAAGTGCAAGAGAAAAAGAGAGAAAACTTTCTTTTTTTTCTGTTAAATATACAGACTCTATTAACTAACAATATATCAAATGAGAAACAGATCCAGGACAGCATCTGAAGAGTCTTCCATATATCTCTTTCTCTGAGTTTGTATATTACCTCCAATAGTCCATATGTCTGTAGCAGTGGTGGGTTTCAATTTTTTTTAGAACCTCTTCTGTAGGTGTGGCCTGCTTTGTGGGAGTGGCTTGCCGGCCATGTGACTGGGTGGGAGTGGCTTTCCAACCATGTGACCGAGTGGGAGTGGTTTGGCAGTCATGTGACTGGGTGGGATTGGCTTGCCAGCCATGTGACTGAGTGGGAGTGGCTTGGCAGTCATGTGACTGGGTGGGATTGGCTTGC